AACCCTAAACCCTAAACCCGTATAGATCCCTTTAAGGGACCCTTCGGAGGGGGCTATTCTAGAGAACTGACTATGATTCATGAAACAACTTCGAACCTCCGAATCCCAAGGCCCTAAGTTGAAAAAAACCACGAACTTCGAAAGCCAACGAATCCTCCAAATAGGGTTTAGGGTTTAGGGTTTAGGGTTTAGGGTTTAGGGTTTAGGGTTTAGGGATCTATCTGGGATGCATCACCCAGCGAGCCCAATACCCTTTAGTTAACGAATCTACCTTAAACTCTAGGGGCCTTTATATAATTACGGTGGAGGGTATAAGTATTCCTTAGTTAAGGGGTATTGGGCTCTCTGGGCTGGACGTCAGCGAGCTTTGAGACCCTAAACCCTAAACCCTAAACCCTAAACCCTAAACCCTAAACCCTAAACAGACATTGGGTTTTAACCACACGCTGGAGTCTCGGGCAAAGGGCTAAGGCTTCGGTTTCGGTTCATCTGGGAGTTTCCGAAAGTAAGGGGTCAACCTTCTCTTGGGGTCCTTAGAATAAGGATCCTACTACTTAGGGTACAAAATTAGGGTCCCCTATTTTCGGAAACCCCCATCTGGCTTCGGGGATGAGGGCTTCAGGGTTTTGTGAAGAAGGCTAAGTCAGGTTCTAGGGTTTAGGGTTCAGGGGCTTAGGGTTGAGGGTTTAGGGATTTAGGGTTTGAGGGTTTGGGGTTTAGCGGTGTGCGGTTTAGGGACGGAAGCCAGGAAATCCTATCTGCGGGCCGATGTGCAGAAGGGCAAGGTCAGCTTCAGCTAAGCCTGATCCCTGAGGTTGATATCCCTGCGTGCCAGTCAGGCGCCAGATCAGCCTTTTTGTTTCAGATTCTAGACACTGCTAGCAGCTAGATCCCTGGGTACATTCCACATCCGCCCTGGGGGGGGGCTGGCAGATTTGTATAGTTTATCATCAGCTTTATCACTAGCTCGAGAGATGCGCGTGATCGAAAAAAGCCAGCATACACTGCCTAAGCCCAAACCGCCAAACCCCAACCTTACGCCCCTACCCTAAACCCGAAACCCGACTTTGGACTAATCCGCGTTTCGCTTGCCGGACACCTCACAGCCTGGAAGCCGCCGATTCCATCCTAACCTAAACTCCAAATATCCCTCTGTTTGGGTTTAGGGTTTTCCTAAAAAGCCACGTTTCTTATTTAAAGTAAGGCAAACTAAAGACATTCGGTTGTTTGGGGTAACACGTGAACCCTAAACCTTACTGTAACACACCCCAGAGCCTACCATTTAGGGATCCTTGTTCAGGGTTTAGGGTTTAAGGTTTAGCGTTTAGGGTTCAGGGTTTTGGGATTTCCTTGTCCTAAACCCTAAACCCTAAACCCTAAACCCTGAACCCTAAACCCTAAACCAAGCGGTAGCGTTTTTGGGGTTTAAGGTTTTGCCCTAGACGTTTAACAGGTTCCCCAATAGCCCACGGCCGGGCTCCTTAAAAGATTGCATTAAGGATTTAGGGTTTAGGGTTTAGGGTTTAGGGTTTAGGTTCCGGCTTCCATGAAGGCTTCTTAAGCCCTAAACCCCTGAATATGAGATTTTACAAAGCTTGACCAGTACTTACATACAAAGTAACAGCCCGGATCACGTCCTAGAGCCCTCGTAACAAGCTCTCTGTGTCACAATGTACAAAACCCTAAACTCTAAACCCTAAACCCTAAACCCCTGTCTTTTCAAAAGCGAATTAGGCTTTCTAATAATCCCAACCTGTGGGTCCAAAAGCCTACTCCCCAAAGTAGACCCTAAACCCCCAAGGCCTAACCCTAAACCCCCAAGGCCTAACCCTAAACCCCAAACCCTAAACCCTAAACCCCCAAGGCCTAGGTTTTAGAGTTTACGGTCTTCTTGTTCTTCGGGCCTGGAAGCCCCGAACACCCCAAATCCCTAAGACCTCGAAGAGGCAGCACCTTGAGCCACCCCCTGAGGCCTGGGAATCAAGACCGTTTAGGGTTTAGGGTTTAGGGTTTAGGGTTTAGGGTCCCTGGACGCCTTAACCCTAAACCCTAAGCACACTGGTCCCTAAACCAGAAACCCTAAACCCCTAAACCCCGGTACCCTCCTCCCTAAACCCTAAACCCCTAAACTCCCAAATTTGGTGCATGTGCCGATGTATCTCAGGGTCTCTTGGAAGAGCTTTGCTGAGGGCCGAACTTTGCTGAACTCTCGTCGTTGTTACTGCGCTTACCTCTTTAGGTACCCTAAACCCTAAACCCTAAACCCATTACCGCTTGAGGGTTTGAGGTTTCGGATCTTTTAGGGCTTAGGGCATCGGGGCTTCGTGGTTTGGGATTTTAAAGATTTGCAGAGGCTAGACTTCTGGGCCTACCACACCATCACCCCCACTACTGCTACTACTACTACTACTACTACTACTACTACTATTACTACTACTACTACTACTACTACTACTACTACTAGTTCTTCTACTACCACCACCACAAATATCACTACAAAAGAGTTCAAGCAGAGGGCTTGTCGACGCCATGTCTCTTGGCCCATGCCTCGATGCCAGGAGAGGCTCGACGCAGGTTCAGTCTTGGCTCTGCCTTACTGGGTGGCCCAAAAGAACCTACCTTTTTAAGGACTTCTATATAGAAACCATAATGGGGAACCCTAAAAAGGTGCCACGGGTACTTATTAGAAAGAGTAAGCAATGTACCGGAAAAAAGGCATATGCCCCCTAAACCCTACACCCTACACCCGAAACTCTAGGTAACAATTTTGGCACATCTGCATGTTGTTTTCGGTACCTTGGTTACTCTAGGTAAGCCTTAAAACCCTCTGCCCTCAACCCGACACTGCCATGGATCCTTTACAGACGACTCATGGGAACTCTTGTAGCACCCGTTTAGAGCCGTCTGGGAAGCCTGGAAGAACGCTCAACCGTAAACCCTCGACCCTAAACCCTGAACCCTAAACCCTAGACCCTAAACTAAACCCTAGACCCTAAACCCTGAACCCTAAACCCTGAACCCTAAACCTTGAACCCTTCACCCTAGACCCTAAACCCTAGACCCTAAACCCTAGACCCTAAACCCTAAAC